TCTGTTGTGTTAGGACTCTAACACCAAATGACTGAAACAGCTACAAGGAATAAAAGCTTTAAACTGAATTGGAACCCTGTTCTTGGATAAGAGTGCCTGAAAGTAATAGAAAGCAGAATTTTCTAAACAATAGGAGGTTAAAATAAACCGGAGGTTGTTCAAAGACTGTTCTTTCACATAACGCTTGCCACCACTCTGCACGCCCCCCACTCCGCATTAAAGGAGTGGGCAGGGAAGGTATTTGGTTCTCCATGTGGCAATGGATTAAAGTATTCTGCTGGGATGACTTAAATTTGTAGTGAATCACAATTGGTACTTTCTCTCAGTACTTTGGGGTAAATTCAAGGATTACAGTAGGAAAATATTAAAATTATATTAGCTAAACCAGTGAATAAATTCAAAACACTACTTTAAATTTTAAGCAACACATGTTTGATTACTTCTCATGCCCAGTTTCCCTTGGGCAATCATTTCTTCCTCTTGAAGAAGGAATTTCCTCACAAGATTTTGCCGTACAAAAATGGCTGTGGCCGCGGGCAGTCATCTTGTCCCTCCAAACCTGTTTTCTCATGGAATTTTGTTGAGGATTATGTGAGACAATCTATGTTAAACCTTAGCATAATGCCTGATGCAATACAGGTTCATGCTTCTTATTAGTAGTGTTATTCAAATTAGAATTAAACATAGAAACAAGTGCCCCTGGCAAAAAATCTGTAGCTGACATTTCAAATACTCTTTGAAATATGAGAATCATTAAGTCAAATTATTTTACAAGCTCTCTCTAATATCATCTTTAAACTTTGTGCGACAGGGATGGGGCCGCTTTAAAATAGTGCCTTAAGTCATTTCCTTGCTTTTGCTGAGAACTCGATGTGAACTCAAGCGAGTGGGATATTCTTGGGTTCCCCTCTGACTCTGATCTGCTCCTTGAAGTCTCAAACTTTATCTTGCTGACTCTGGCCCCAAACTTCCTATATATCCCCATGAAAACCTACAAAATACCTTCTCTCTTCATGTGAGATCTTCCATCCCCCAAATGAGTTCTGGCTAAGGAAATAAGGAAAGAATGCTCATAACGCCTAGGACTATGAATTAGCAGAAAGAGGTTTCTTTCTGCTGAAGTTAAACCTCGCTAGCAATCACTGTTTATACAACTGTTCACTCTGCATACTTCCTTCTCCTCCTGGATTTTTGTAGTACTGGTTATTGGCTAGTGAAAACTGGTTAATTAATCTCAAACATCCAGCAAAATTATTTTTGTCGAAATTTTCCCCATGTCTGTCTTCCCACTTCTCCCCACACAGTAAAATTTCTGGGTCTTTGCTTTTGGCCAGGATTCTGCTCTCCCTGTAAAGTTCTGCCATGGTCTCTTGCTCTCTGGATGAAGAATAAACTCCCACATCCAGTTCTTTGCATTTAAATGGAGGGTAATAGGGACTCAATGTGTTTTATTGATACTGATGAGCCTCCTAAGGCTTAGAATTTAGGTTTTCGAGGTCCCTCTAGGATTACATCCATATAGGTACACACTATGCCAGAAAAAATAAAGGAATCAAGTCAAACCTAAATTTCTGATAAACAAAGCATAAACTTTTAGTATAAGTGTGTCCTAATTATTGCATGGGAAAAACCACTAAAAGGTATTTCTTGTTTATCTGAATTAAAATTCAACTAGGCATCCTTCATTTATTTGTTCTCTGGATCACTATCTTGGCTTAAAATAAAGTTAGTTATTAGGTTACCTTGACCACTTTGCTCTGCTCTTAATGCTGCTTTAAAAAAAATCCTTTAATTTCTGTCAAATAAGTGTTTTTTTTTTTTTCTTTTAAAAAAATATTGGGTTTTGCTTAGATCTTGCCAAAAGTTGTCAAGGTCATTAGATGCTTATAGCCCAGGTGTATTCCACTTTACCTTTTTTTTTTTTTAATTTCAGTATATTACAGGGGTACAAATGTTTAGGCTACATATATTGACTTTGCCCCACCTGAGTCAGAGCTTCAAGCGTGTCCATTACCCAGACGGTGCACACCGCACCCATTAGGTGTGAATATATCCATCCCCTCCACCCCCCTCCCACTCTCCCGACACCTGATGAATCTTACTACTATATGTGCACATAAGTGTTTATCAGTTAGTACCAATTTGATGTTGAGCACATGTGGTACTTGTTTTTCCATTCTTGTGATACTTCACTTAGTAGAATGGGCTCCAGCTCTATCTAGGATAATAAAAGAGGTGCTAGATTACCACAGTTTTTTGTAGCTGAGTAGAACTCCATGGTATACATATACCACATTTTATTAATCCACTCGTGTATTGATGGGCACTTGGGTTGTTTCCACATCTTTGCAATTGTGAATTGTGCTATTATAAGCATTCTAGTGCAGATGTCATTTTTATAGAATGTCTTTTTTGCCTTTGGGTACATGCCCAATAATGGGATTGCTGGATCAAATGGTAGTGCTACTTGTAGCTCTTTGAGGTATCTGCATATTACTTTACACAGAGGTTGTACTAGTTTGTAGTCCCACTAGCAGTATATGAGTGTTCCTATCTCTCTGCATCCACACCAACATTTAATGTTTTGGGACTTTTTGATGAAGGTCATTCTCACTGGAGTCAAGTAATATCTCATTGTGGTTTTGATTTGCACTTCCCTGATGATTAGAGATGTTGAGCATTTTTTCGTATGTTTTTTGGCCATTAGTCTATCTTATTCTGAAAAGTTTCTGTTCATGTCCTTTGCTCACTTTTTGATAAGGTTGTTTGATTTTTTCTTGCTGATTTTCTTGAGTTCTAAATAGATTCTAGTTATCAGCCCTTTATCGGATGTATAGCATGCGAAAATTTTCTCCCATTCTGTAGGTTGTCTGTTTGCTCTTGTGACAGTTTTCTTGGCTGTGCAGAAGTTTTTTAATTTGATCAGGTTCCATTTATTTATTTTCGTTGTTGCTGTGATTGCCTTTGGGGTCTTCTTCATAAATTCCCTCCCTAGGCCAATATCTGTAAGAGTTTTTCCAACATTTTCTTCTAGAATTCTTATAGTTTCATGCCTCAGATCTTATATCTATAAAAACCCCAAAGATTCTGCCATAAGGCTACTAGAATTGATAAACAAATTCACCAAAGTCTCAGGTTACAAAATCAATGTACAGAAATCAGTAGCATTCCTATATGTCAACAACAGTCAAACTGAGAACCAATCAAAGACTAAATACACTTCACAATAGCAACAAATAAAATAAAATACCTAGGAATATATTTAACTAAGGAGGTGAAAGACCTCTACAGGGAGAACTACAAAAGCCTGAGGAAGGAAATGGCAGAGGATGTAAACAGGTTGAAGACAATATCGTGCTCATGGGTTGGCAGAAGCAACATTGTTAAAATGTCTATACTACCTAAAGTGGTCTACAGATTCAATGCAATCCCTATTAAAATACTGACATCATTTTTCACAGATCTAGAGCAAACAATTCTATGCTTTGTATGGAACCAGAGAAGATCCTGTATAGCAAAAGCAATCTTAAACAAAAAGAACAAATTGGGAAGCATCAATTTGCCAGACTTCAAGCTATACTACAAGGCTATAGTAACTAAAACAGCATGGTGCTGGCACAAGAACAGAGACAAAAACCAATGGAACAGAACTGAGAACCGAGATATAAAACCATCCTCATATAGCCATCTAATCTTTGACAAAGCAGACAAAAACATACACTGGGGAAAAGAATCCTTATTCAATAAATGGTGCTGGGAAAATTGGATAGCCACATGTAGAAGACTGAAACATGATCTGCACCTTTCACCTCTTGCAAAAACCAACTCACGGTATATAACAGACTTAAGTCTATTCCACTTTACTGAATACATGCTTTCTTGAAGGTCAATGGAAATGAATTTTTACAAATCAAATCATATCTTGTAGTGTGAAATATGATTTGTTCTATTAATATAGTGAGGAAACAATATCTTGTTCTGTAATGAAGGTATGAAATTTTATATAGACTTTTTTTTACAGTGAGTTTGACACATTTGGAGAACTATTATCTGAATCCTGAAGCATAATACAGCTGATATTGGATTAAGAAATATTAGGAAATACTTTGGCTATAATTTAGGCTATTCTTTAATAACTGCATCAGGTTTCAATTATGTGGTACATACATTGATACACTTGAAGCACCTAGGTTTACATCGAACAGAAACAACTCCTGCAAGTACAGCGATTCTGGTCAATTTTTTTCTCTCATTTGATTTGTGTTGTTTAAATAGTCTGAATGTACTTCTGCTATTTATACAGAAATGGGCTTGAAAAACTTGAATATTTATCTGAGAACATATTAAAAGTAAGTTCTGCAGGGATAAGAACATCTATTTTTATTCTTTGAGTTACTTGGTGGTTCCTGGTGTAGGGCTATTCCTACTTCTTTTGTGAGAACTAGATTATCTTAAATGTTAAATATGTAACAACTAAAAAATTGTGATAGATGTGGTAAAAAATAATTCCTGATTTTGTGGCAATTCAGGGGATGGGAAACTTAAGTTGACCCTGATAGATGTGTAGGAATTCTATAACTGTAGATTGGGATATGGAAAATATTCATAGTGAAGATGCCTCCAGCATCATCAAATAAGGGAGTGGGAAGTGAGTCCCTGGTAAACCTGTTTATGCTCTTGGTGCCTTTAAATATTTTGGTTTAAAATGTAAAATTCCAAATAAGCAATAACTTTGTATAATGCCACTCTTGTATTTTTCTTAAATTAACATTTCCCTTTGCTCTCCTTTAGGGAGAAGCAGGTCCTACTGGGGCACGAGGCCCTGAAGGTCCTCAGGGGCAGAGAGGTGAAACTGGGCCACCAGGTCCAGTTGGCTCTCAAGGTCTTCCTGTAAGTTCCTAACATGTGTAAGAACTAGCCCAGAAAGCTGGACTTTTTTTTTTTTTATAACATCCAAATAAATGCAACTGATTTTTACTGGTATATAATATTTGTACATATTTATGGGGTACATGTAATATTTTTTTACATGCATAGGATGTGTAATGATCAAGTCAGGGTATTTAGAATATCTACCACCCCATATATTTATCATTTCTATGTGTTGGGAACATGTTAAGTCCTCTTATCTAGGTATTTTGAAATATAACATTGAATATATTCTCTTTGAATCCTGAATGATTGCTTGAAACTTATGAAGAAAACACATTTCCTCTGTCAACTCTTCAAGATTTGCCTATTTTATGTAAAAGAGGATTAGTCAAAAAAGTAATTTTTATGATATAATTGTGGTTGATATTTTTTGAAATTTTTCCGGCTCCTCTTGAAGGATGGCTGAACATCTGAATACTACCCCATATGTACCTAGATATAGCTTAATATTTCCTAAACTTTTTATGTACCTTTTAGGGTGCCGTGGGAACTGATGGTACACCTGGTGCCAAAGGCCCAACGGTGAGTAACTGCATGTATGCTATGTAAAATTCAAAGGGACATGATCCTTATTTACCCTACACTGCTACCTGTATCTCTGCTCATCATGTCACTCTTGCTATCTGATAGGGCTCTCCGGGTACCTCTGGTCCTCCTGGCTTGGCAGGACCTCCTGGATCTCCGGGACCTCAGGGTAGTACTGGACCTCAGGGAATTCGAGGCCAACCGGTAATGTCCTTTGGAACAACTCTCACCCTTTTAGTATATCCAACTAAGAGTGTCAAGAGTAACAACATGCAATGTGATGCAATGCAACGTAAGATAATGTGACTTGTCCAAATGAAGGAAGTGAAGATTGGAGACTTTGTAAAGTGAAGGCTAAATGTTATTATGCAATTTAGATGTTTAAACTCTAAGTAGAACATTATTGCAGTTTGTTAAATTTTAGTATTCTTTTATTTAAAATAATAAAATCATAACTTTATGGTCGATCTCACAGAATTTTATGAATAGTTTAATAATACGTGTTATGCAAATATTTGGCAAGCCAGTCTGAGGTAATATGGAGGTGTAATAGGGATTTATAATGACAATTTGGCTAAAAATGGGTTCAACAGCTATTTCTTGAGAGTTATTCTTGAATGATTCCAATATATTGTTCATATTGAATGTTTCCATATTTTTACAGAAATTATTTATTAGAAAATATATTGTGATGAGTCCCATAAGACATAAATACATTGAGAATTTGTGTGTATTTAGCTTTTAGCTTGATATATAAAAATAAATATTTAAACAAATATTTTAGATACTGTTCCAAGTAATGTGTTCATGCTGATAAATTCTTCTTAAGTGCTGGTGACAGATTTATTAAAACATAAGTGTTGCTGATATGTCGCATTGTATTTTACCATTTTCTGAATTAAGTAATCTGATTCCTCAGAATACTCCAAAGGCAAAATGCTTGATTCGAAGTTGCCAAATTCCAAATAAATAGAACATAAATATAAGTCTATATCCTAAAATATAGCCAAAGTAGATTTGTCTATAGAAGTTATCATTGTTAGTTCTAATTTTAATTATAAAATTTGAATAATGGGATAATTTTAATTATTCTGTTATACATGATAAAAAACATGATTTTAAAAGTAAAACTCTTGAAGACCATTGTAGAATAAACAAACTGCTACTAAATTATACTGAATTGTATAAAAATTTATACATATTCTACAAAATTTGCAAAATTTTTAAAAATGATTATATTATTCTACTGATTCAGTACAGACTCAGCAGCAGAAAAATTTTAAGGCCTATTCACTGGAATTAATTACAGCAGGTTGGACTGGCTCAATGTCCTGGTTCTTACAACTATCAATATTTTTATTTTAGGGTGACCCAGGAGTTCCAGGTTTCAAAGGAGAAGCTGGCCCAAAAGGCGAACCAGTAAGCCTTCATTTTTTTAATGATAAGAAGAACATAATTGTCTAGAAGTGTACAGCTCAAAATGCTCATTTGACATAATAACAGTGGAAATTATAATAGATTCGGATGAAAATAATTTAATAGCTTAAAATAATATTTAATATACTTCAAAGTTTAACTTACATCATTAAATGAGTCTTCCAACCATAACTCACTTGCTGGATGATAATTTGCTGATAACTTTCCTTCTGTTTTTTGATAGGGGCCACATGGTATTCAGGGTCCAATAGGCCCACCTGGCGAAGAAGGTAAAAGAGGTCCCCGAGGTGATCCAGGAACAGTTGGTCCTCCAGGCCCAGTGGGAGAAAGGGTAAATTTTGAACAATAAAATATACTCTTATAGTTGTGGAGGAATTACATGAGTAAGTTTTGGGATAGTAAGAAAAATTAGAGAAGTTAAGAGAAATGCTTGCAGGTGTCTTTATCTTTTATTTTCAGTACAATTATCTGCAAATATATAGGGCCAACTGTCTAATAACTCTTCATTCATTCAACTAATATTGATTGAATCACTACTCTATGCCAATTTGAGCTATTTTGTGCTTGGGATACAGCAATTAACAAGAAGTCTATGGTCCCAGTCCTCATGTAAACAACAGTTTACTTTAGTGGGTCGGTAAACAATAATCAAGTCAATATAGGTTAATAAAAATGTATTTATACATTTTAATAAATGCCATGTACACTTATCAAATAATGGGGTGACATGTTGGAGAGAAACTATGAGTGTATGACAGTGGTGTGATGTTAGATTAGGGGGTTTGGAAATAGAGTCCTCTGAGAAGATAGCATTTTGGCTGAGACCTGACGATGAGGGTTACCAGCAAGAGAAATTAGGAGAAAGAGTATTCTTAGCAGAGGAAAAAGCAAATGTAAAGCCGGGAGACCTGAAAGGGCTAGGTAATTTTAAGATCAGAAGATGTAGTTGTGACTGGAGTATAATGAAACAGGTCTGAAAAGAAGAGCAATAATCTCACATTTGTATGGAGCTTTAGAGAATGCAAAGGGCTTCGCATACAAGACGTTAATGCCTGTTATTGTTGACATTTTGATTTCTTTAGATGGTACCTTTGCCTCTCATATCTAGATATCTAGATAGTTTTTCTCTATGTTTAATTTTACAATAAATTGTTATTGTATTTCTTGATTTGAAGAATTATTTGGCTTTGTATTTACATAGTCTTCAAAATTTAAAATTTATTCTATGTAGTCAATTTTTTTTTCAAATATATATTTATGTATATAGCCATATTGGCTTGATCATAGCTCCTAAAACTTTATAGTACTAAAAATAAAAATTACCTATTTATTATATATTACAAAAATATCAACAAATAAGAACCATATTTTGGTCATTTGTAGGGTGCTCCTGGCAATCGTGGTTTTCCAGGCTCTGATGGTTTACCTGGACCAAAGGTGAGGTTATCCCAGCAATGTTGATACTCATGTGCGTGGTGCTCCCAAAGATGCCATTTTCCAGCATGGTGATCTAGCTGTGGTTCACATAGATCCAGATCCAGAAAGGAGATAGACACAGATGTCAGGCCTAACCCTAAATGCCTGCTGTGTAATTTCTGCATTAAGAGGTGTAGGGGAGAAGGACAATAATGGAGGAATGTGAGAGCTTTTTTCAGACTTTTCAGTGAATATATAATATATGTTGCCTTCATTTGAAAATTTAGACTCTTTCAGTATTCTGGTTTTTTAAAAATCTGAATTATTGGAGTGAAGCTCTAAACACACTTTTATCAGTTAATGATGAAAAACTACGATTATACAAGGAATCCAAATTAAAACAAAATGTACAGTGACATTGTGTTCAAAGTCTTTGTAACTTCTTTGACAAGATATTTGTATATTATATTAGTGCCTTGATTTGTAAAACTATAATTTTACTTATTCTTGCTTTTGTTTCCCTGAACACTTCTCTGACTTACCTGCTTTGTTTGGTACAGGGTGCTCAAGGAGAGCGGGGTCCTGTAGGTTCTTCAGGACCTAAAGGAGGCCAAGGGGATCCAGGACGTCCAGGTGAACCTGGGCTTCCAGGTGCTCGGGTGAGAACATAGCAGTTGTTTGCTACATCAGCCCATGATCAGAAATGCTCCAGATCATGCCTTGAAGCCTTGCTTTGTTTGTTTTTAAATTTAGCTCACTTTATCAACTTGGAACATTTCTTTGTTTTTGTGGTTTTGACCCGATTCATTATTTTTTAAATACTGATTTGTTTTTTATCTTGTATAGAAAACACAGTAACTTCTAGTGTCTCTTTCTCAAAGGAATATGCATTAATAGCTTTACCACTTGGCATTAGAAAAAAATCCTGTGTGTCAATCTTTATAATTTTTCTTTACTTGCGAACAGACAACTTGTTTGACTTTTGGCAGAGAATTCCTGATGAATATTATTTTAACAACACATCACTTGAAAATTTATTTGAACTATGAGATTGCCTTTCTATTCAGTTGTCAACAATGCAATGCTATTTTTACTCTTTAGAATCTTTATTTCAGTTGCAGGTCAGCAGTAAACTGACAATTGCTTTTCATTTTCAGGGTCTGACAGGAAATCCTGGTGTTCAAGGTCCCGAAGGGAAACTTGGACCTTTGGTAAGTAATTTAAACAAATGTCCACAACCGTTAATGTTTTTCAGTAGACATATGACTTAAATGTTATTTATTTGAGGTTAATGTTATTGATCATGTGGATGCTGATCGCGTTCACGTATTTAAAATGCCTCCTGGGAGCAAATTCTTAGTATCTGTGTATTTTCACATTGACCAAAATATAGATCAAATTTTATTGAGATCAATGTTTGAGATTGAAATTGCTTTCCTGACATTGGTGAAAAAGTTGAAATGATACATTTTTCAATATTGGTGAAATTCATCTGTTAGAAATATTACCATCTCTTGATATCCTTTCAATTTTATATGTTTAAGAGATAAGTAGGTATGAATTTTAACAGTTTATATATTCTAAGCCCTTCCCTTATACTGCAGTGTGAAATAGAAGTCCTGAATTTTCATTACCACAAACCAGAGTAAATGAAAGAGGAGAGAAATGTTTATCCTATTATTATGAGCGTGTCAGGAGAGGTGAAGATGAGGCTTATGTCTAGAATAAGAATAAAATCTCTGTTCTAAATACTAAAAATACTTTGGTGGTTTTTAAAAACCGTTCAACTGTTCTGATTCATTAAGATAAAAAAATAGAATAATTTAAAATTTATGTAACTTGTTATTGTGAGCAAGGCAAGTGGCAATTTGGGCAATGAGATATTTAGAATTTATGTGAAACTGACATGGCTCCTGTCAATTCTGTAGGGTGCTCCAGGAGAAGACGGCCGTCCAGGTCCTCCAGGCTCCATAGGAATCAGAGGGCAGCCTGGGAGTATGGGTCTTCCAGGCCCCAAAGGTAGCAGTGTGAGTACAGTGTATAATATATTTGCCATCCCATCATAATCCTCCTTTGGAGCAGGTATGTTTTTACAAAACTGATTGAATTTTTGGAATGGCTTCATTTATTCTTCAGGGTGACCCCGGGAAACCTGGAGAAGCAGGAAATGCTGGTGTTCCTGGACAGAGGGTAAAAACACATTTTCTGCTAAAGAAAAAAATGTATATGAAACTATCCACATTCTCATGCATGGCCTCACCTCACAAATTATCTCTATGTGATACTAGGGAGCTCCTGGAAAAGACGGTGAAGTTGGTCCTTCTGGTCCTGTGGGGCCCCCGGTATGTGATCTTGCAGCAAGAATGTGTATATATATATTGCATGTTTCAATGATATTGGTGCAAGACTTTACTTATGAATAAGTTTCAGGAAAAGTGAATAAAATTGTATGGGATTAAAGAATTTCAGTTGTAGTTTTTCTTTTGATTTCTGTGATACGGTGTCTTCTGTCTTTTTAAATATATTGATTTGTCTTTTCTTTTTAAGCTTTTAAAATCTGATGGAAAAGGCTTCCTCATTGTCTTTACACATCACAGTTGAAGAGTATATCAACTGAGGAAAATAGTTTTTGACAAATATTGTATAATTTTTTTATTTAAAATATTTAAATAATGAATTATACCTACTTTCTTCCAATAATATATCTTATAAAAATTTATTTAAGCCATTTTTGAGGAGGTAAAGGGATAATATTTATCCTTTGAGGTTGTATCTTCATTGCAGGATTTTAAAATTAAGTGTTTATTGAAATAAACACTTTGGCATATTTATTTGTTTTGGGGCGGGGCAGTTTAAATATCTTTCTAAAATGTTAGCTTTGCTTTCTTTAGTCATTCTAAAGTCTTGATTAATAATTCTTATGACACTTAGAAATAAACTACAATATAAATATTACCCTTTTTAAATTAGATATGGAAAAGTAATAGGTTTTTCCACATTCAGTTTATCAAAGTTCCCCATAATTTTACTGTTGGCTCCAGATATTTTATGTTTAGATAAAAAAAATACATTTTATCAGTCATTGCACTGGCTTTAAAAGATATAATATTTTCTTATCTGCAGGGACTTCAAATACTACTATTAGATGACTTTTAATACTAATTTATTACCTGGCTAAAGTGAAAAACATGTGATTGGAAGAAATATAAAGAAATATAAATTCTTCTAATGGTTCACATAAACAGGAAACAGATATTTATATGTATATATATGTACTAATAGCTTTACCACTTGGCACTGGCTGCATTCATGATTTTCTTTCCTTCATGACTTAGGGTCTAGCTGGAGAAAGAGGAGAACAGGGACCTCCAGGCCCCACTGGCTTTCAGGTATGCACTAATTCAACTTTCTATTTCTTTATTCATTAACTAAAATGCTTTTTTAAAACATAAAAAGGTATGGTCAAATGATGTGAAATTCTACAATTTCCAAAAAAGTATTCCCTCCTTTAGTAGATATAGGATAGACATTTGGATAAAATCAAACATTTTTATTCAAAGAAAAGGAATCAACTTACCTAAAAAATTGATAAAACTCCAAAGCTATTAACAAAACAATTAAAAATAATAAACGATAATAAAAAGATATCAGGAATAAAGTTTTCCTGATATCACAACAAAGTTTAAGTCTGATCTAGTTTTACTGACATAGTGACTAAAAGTTTTTATTGAATAAATTTTCATGATTTATCTACATATATTGGTATGTACACTATTTAATAGCAGGGATAATCATAATTTGTGAAAGAGCTTTTTGGACTGAATTTAATACTCTAGCCGTCTAAAATACTGTTCTCAGAGCCACAAAACTCTACAAGTGTGAAGAACTTCCTGTTATATTGTTATTTCTTTTTAGCTAAGTTGTGTCCAATTGAAAATCTAATGCTATAAATTGACTAGCTGCTATGCTTTGTTAGAAGTAGATTTTTTTACATTTCTGAGCAGTATCTTTTGCTTGAAGATATAGTCACAGAGACTCCATGAATTGTAAAAGGTGAACTATTAATACTGGGAATCTATTAAACTTTCACAGATTTATAATTTTATTTTCTTACTTTTGTTTTAGGGGCTTCCTGGTCCTCCAGGGCCTCCTGGGGAAGGTGGAAAGCCAGGTGATCAGGTAAGTGTTTGAGTAATAATAATAGCAATGCTACAAATTGCTGGCTCATAATATATTTTATGTGTGAGGCTCTGTTCTGGTTTTCTTTACATATATTATCTCTTTGAATCCTCAAAACAACCCCATGTGCTATGTACTCTTATAATCTCCATTTTACAGATAAG